TAATCTCATCTAACTGATATCTGAACAGAAATGTCCTCTACAACACTCCTAAACATCTCCAGTTGTAGGAAACTCACAACCTCTGAGGTAGTCCATGTCTAACTCATCTTCCACAATAGCAATTTAAATACTTATAAGACATGTGACCATGTGTGTGTCCTCCTTTTCAGTGAGTACCAAAGAAGCATAGAATGTTAGGACTGAAAGGGATGTTTGAGATCTTTAGATCATTATTTCTTCACCTTCCTGGAGTCTACAAGTCCCCAAAGAGGTTCCATCTTTATTTTCACTAACCTCTAAATGAAATTTATCATTTTCTTCAATTATGAATGTAGGCAACAATCTACAATAGTGTTAAGCAATACCAGTGACTTTGTCACCAATAGAAATTGTTTGCAGATATCTGGCAGCTAGGTGGCTCACTGGTTAAGACTGTTGGATTTGGAATAAGGAAACTTAGAGTTTGAATCCAGCATTAAACACTTATTAGTTGTGTGACCATGGGCAAACAATTTAACGTCTGAGCCTGTTTCCTCATCTATAAAACAAGGATAATAATAGCATCTACCTCCCAGTGTTGTTTTGAGGCAATGTTTTGCAAACTTTTAAGAGCTCTATGAATATCAGTCATTATCATATATTGAAATATTACATATGCTTATCATTACTTCAAAATTACTATATTAATTAAACCTGCTGCTAGATATATTATCACAATTAAAAAAAACTTTTGATAACTATTTCAACATAATTGCTTTCCTTTGTAATCTTGTGCATTTAATTTTATGCATTTATAAGTATTATTCTGAGAAGGGGTCTACAGGCTTCACCCAACTTCCAAAGGGGTTCAGGACACAAAAAGTGTTAAGAACTCTGATCTAGTCCAACATTTTTATTTTTTGGATGAGGAAACTGAGACCCAAAGAAATGAATTTGCCTGTCACGCCTATAGTAAATGGCAGATGACTAGAAAATTAACTGAGGTCCAGTGTTCCTTGCACCATACATATGGTCAGAGATGTACCTTTTAGTTTCCCTATCATCTTAACAGTCTCCTTTTCACATACTCTAGCTTTTCAAAGTTCTTCCCAGAATGTGTTCAGAACCAAACACAACACACTAGATGTGGTCTGAGCAGAACAGAGAACAGCGGGACTGTTTGGGATATTTTGTTTCTATTCATGCTGCCTAAGATGCCATTAGCTATTTTAACTGTCTTATCATACATTGACTCACAGAACTGGTCCACTAAAACTTGCAGGTCTTTTCCCACATGAATTATTGTCTAACATTTGTTCTGCTGATTTTTTTTAATTCCAAAGATGCAAAATTTTATTTCATAACTGATTTTGGAAAAGACTCCAAACTGCCTAGTTACTAGAAGCATCAATTGGTCCTTTCTGGAGCTGTTCCCTCTGTCTCAAACGACTTTTTCTCACTCTTTGGGCCATGTTAGCAACTTAATTTTAGGCTTGTAGTGGCTACAAGTAGGAGAGGTTCTCTTCCTACTCCCCTTACCCACCATCCATACAGGAATACCCAAGCCGTTTCATATATGGGAAAAAAAAGAAGCCTACTTCACAATACAGATACATTAGCTTATTACTTGTTTGCAGATATGTGGAGCTTCTATGGTTAGAATCTGGATTATAGCTCCTCTGTGCAGTTCAGCTATTAGGCAAAGTGCTAGGAACATAGCATAGTAGGAACATAGTAAACACCAATCTAATATCTTGATTAACAAATCTGGGAGCCAAATTCCTTTATAATGAACTAAGCTGTCCTTGTTTTTCCCCCTAAAATCAACAAGAAAAAAAATTTTTTTCTATTACAACCAAGAGGAGACCTTAGAAATCCGGTCCAAAACAAAATCTTATCTTATAAATCGGGAAACAGGGTGAAAAAGAGAAAGTAATTTGCCTGTGGTCACACTGCACATTAGTAGCTGTTGTCGGAACTTGTTCCAGAGCTTGGCAGCATACCCCAACTAAAATAAAACAATTTCCCAGCTGGCAGGTTGCTTTGAGATAAACTACACTAAGTCTTCTTACCCTGGGACTCATTATTTTTTTTCTTTTTTTGGTAACTGCATTTCAAAATAATTAGTTTCCTTTGTAATCCTAAGTATTTCATTTTACTCATTTACAAACATTAGCCAGACGGATCCAAAGACTTCACAGACTGTCAAAGTGATTCATGATAAAACAGGTTAAGAACCCCTGGTTGAGACCAATTCTCTTATTTTACAGAAGAAACAGGGCCCCTGAGAAGGGAAGTGATTCACATAAAGTCAAACAGTAAATCTGTGACTTCAAATGGGATTACAGTATCAAAGGAGACAATCCTAGGTTCAAAATCCACATGCCTCTGAAGAGTTGAGGTAAACTGATTTAGCCTGTAAATAAACTAGGCCATCTGCTATTTATTTCAGCTACTTGAATACTTTCTGCCTCTTTTCCTCTTCTCAAACTACTCCAGGGGCCATAAACAGCTGCTCTCTATTACCATGCACTGGAAGAAGCCATATATGGGACAGATTTCTCTTTTGCAAGTTCAGAATACCTCACTTAGAGGATGCTGACCAATGAAAGCTTGATGCCTGAATTGGGCAACGGCAAGCAGCTGATGCATTCAGGTGCTGTCAACAGGTGAAGAGTCGAGCCTGAAACTGCATAGACACGATAGTCCTTACTGATAAAGACGCTGTTGCTTTAAAAAGTGGTTAAGAGCTAGCGCATTGTACATCTATTGTTTAAATGCTAATTATCTGCATTTACCTCTAACTTCAATACTCAAAAGATGCATAATTTCATCAGTATAGTTACTACTGTTTTCACTCCTTAAAAGGCAGTGTTTCCTGAACTGCTACGGGCAAAGAGTTACCTGGCAGTAAACCTGGTGATGAGCCTTCTGCAATTAGGTAGACTATTTGACAGCCATTCCAGCTTCGTAGGACTTACCTTCCAGTGCTCTCTCTCTGTTGGTATAGGCTTCAAGCACCCAGGAACACCTTCTCTGCACAAGGAAATAAGATGAGTAGATAGAACTATTTTGGGACTCAAAAGTAAAATACATCGAGCACAGTAATAAGTAAAAATGAGACAACACCTATTTATTGGATACTATTACTTCCAATCTTCAAATATTTTTTTTTCTAACAGTTAACATACAAATATCCTCCCCTAAAGTTCTACTTCAATGTCTTATTGTGCCATGGAGGTAATTAAGTTGTTGAAGGCCATTCCAGTACAGTACAGTATGGTAGGTTCCACCACGATGAAAAGGCTTCAAGGAGCCTACCAAAGTACCAAATTACTAAACTGCAGAGAAGCTCATCACCAGAAGGCTGGCCATCAAGTAATGATTATTTTGCCACAGCAACTCAGCAAGTACCTTAGATGGCATGGATGTTATTTGTATCTGGATAGTAACCATCGTGATAAAATTATTGATAAAATGTGATAAAATTATAAATCTTTTCTGAGTATTGGGTAACAAAGATAGACGGTAAATGTTTAATCAGCATTATACTGCTTTTTTCTTTAAAAGTCTAATCAAGGGGCAGCTAGGTGGTACAGTGGATAAAGCTCTGGCCTTGGAATCTGGAGAACCGGTGTTCAAATCTGGCCTGACACACGACACTTACTAGCTGTGTGACCCTGAGCAAATTACTTAATCCCGATCGCCTCACCCCACTGAAAATAAAAATATCTAGTCAAGAGTTTTGTTTTTCTTCCTTAATCTCTGTCTGGACCTGTGTTACCATAACACCTGGTGGCAACCCAATTTTCAGGGGGAGCCAATCTGCCTACAGAAGTTTTCCCAAGGGGTACATGAATTTGAATAGGAAAAAACATCTTTATTTCACTAACTCTTGGTTTCCTCATAATCCTAAGTATTTTTACTTTAAGAGTTTTAAAACATAGGGGCTCAAAGGCTTCACATCAAAATGTCAAAGGGCTTCACAACCCAAGGCTAAGAAACTCTGCTCTAGAGAGCACACTTTGTAAATTAAACCCCATAAAGTGATATCAAACATTGAATCCTAAATGCCATCAATCATTAAATTGCTTTTACATTGGTTTAATAGTGTACAAGTATTTGACCTACTATAAACCAATCAATCACTTCCTGCTGGTAAATCTGAAGGGTAGTTGTTCTGATTTATACTAACAGAAAATATCAAAGTCCCAGGTCCTTCAATGTATAACGTATCAATGGGAAAAGTTAGTATGCAAATTTCTTGCACAAGGTCACTGGCATGAGAGGAAACACAAGGGTACCAGGTCAAGAAGAAAGTTTTCTAAGCATTTTCAGGAAGTCAAGGCAAGTGCCAAGAGTTTGGTCCTAGGCAGTGAATTCTCACCGAGATTACAACCAAGCTCATCTCAAAAAATCTCCCTCATAGGAACATGTTCTCATTCTAGCAGCAGACAGCACTCATTGATCATTGCAAGGAATAAAAACAGAGGGGTAGGGAAATGTGAGGTTCAGGTTTTAATTTGATATATGATAGGGGGAGTGAAGTTCAAATTTTCATTTGATATATGATAGGTGCTAACCTACACACAAATCCCATCTCATCAAAAGCTCATCAAAGAGAGAGAAATCATGTTCATTATTACTGGAAATGATTCAAGGAGCAGATGAAACTTTTTAAAGGCACTGTTTCAGTAGGGAATATCTTTCATAGTTTGTCATGGGATTCTGAGATGGAAGGCATGATATGAACTTATCTAAAATTCCCTCATTTGATAACAGAAGGAAAGTGAGGCACAGAAAGGGGAAATGATTTTCTAAAGGCCATCAGGATGGTAGAAGAGCTAAGATACAAACTCAGATACTCTGAATCCAAATCCAGGGGGTCTATCCACTATACCAGTCTGACAACTTCCATGCTACTGTCTAATCACCTCCTTCCCCCTTCCCCCAGAAGAACACATCTACCATTTCTCAGTCCCTTCCCTCCCAGACAGAAGGATCCATTGCTACTTGTGCACTTTGTTATAAAACATTTAATGTTAACCTACAATACAATGTAAACTTTATGAAAAAAATTTTAAGTACACTAGATTTATTCAGTAAATGACCACGTAACTATTCAGGTGCAGTATAGGTAGGGTCATTACATCCTTTCCAGGATAGGTTTCCCATTGCTGCATTCCTTACAAGTCTTTAATAATAATAATAAAAAAAAAGTGTAAAGTGGGGCCCCTTGTTTGAGCACAAGATGGCATCACTCTATTCCATTAATTCTGCATTTAGGGGTTTCAATCCCTGCTTGGTCACTTTCTGCAGCTTTTTCTTAGGCCTTGGCACCATTTGCAATTTTCATGATGACTGCTCAGTTGAAGAGTCCAAGTTCGTTTTACGGGTTCTTGCATTTGTTGGGTGTGGGTTTTTTTTTTTTAAGATTCTCCGCTGTCATCCGTCATTCTGACCAGGTTCAAACAAGGGGAGAGAATGAAAAATCTGCTGCAGATATTCTGCAGACATGGAAGGAAAGGCTTGGAGGGCTGAATGTTAGGTTACACAAATCCAACAGACTCCAATTCAGGTATCTTTGCTTGGTCATGTTCCAAAGGTGGTTCATCTGAATTGGCAACCTCAGAATTGGGAGTACTTTAGACCTCAATTGAACTTCATTCTCCCCGCCTCAGCTGCTGAGTGTGACTCTTGTGTAAACAACTGCTCAAAGATCCCAGAGATTATGTGGACACTGTTCAGCATTTTCTTGTTGGTTTCACTGAGCATTTCACCACCACCCCCATACCCTGAGTTCTACTTCAGTAATATAGTACTGGCATCAAGTGCAAAACTCAAGGGAAGAAGACTGTACCTAGAGACAGTACAAGAGTTGACCTCAATTAAGAAGCTGTTTGAAAAGGAAGGAGAATGGGGTTCAGGTAGTGTCCTTAAGCCAAAAGCAAAATAGGCAAGATGTTTTCAAAAGCAGTGACTCTAAATATCTTGGTCTCCAACCCAATCCCATTCACCCAATCACACAGTTATCAAAAAGTAAGAGAGACAGGAGGGGAGTAGTCTAAATCAAGTCAGAGGTTTAATAAAGAACTGGAAAAAAAATGACTGAAAAAAATGAGATTGAATGGGCTCCATCTCTGCATAACACTATACTCTGAAAAACATCAGAATTTATTAAGGTATTTACTAACCTTCCATGTCCTGCTAAGAGTATACCTGTATACTCCAAGCAGGGAGGTTGGCTCAGAATTAAATTGAAAATTATCTCCCATCTAGTCTGACACCAACAGACTTCATATAGGGTTGAATGAACTTAACTTTTGTTTCTAAAGTCACTGTGAAGAAAGCTTTTAAGATACATGTTTGTGGTTTGTTTGTTTTTTAATCCAGTCTTGAAATAGATGGAAATTAGGATGGAAAGTAATATAAGCCCAGGGAAAAATTTTAACTCTACAGAGTTGATGTATCAGATATGATTGCATATGCCAAAGCCAATGAGATATTCACAGAACTTCTGGTGACTCTTCAGTGGTCCCACACTCTGCCCCCACTGATGACATCCCTGATGAGAGGGATGAACTGAACACTGATAATATGGAGCATAAAATAGCTGCCTTAAATTAAAGTTAAATAAGAGATGCAGCCTCTGCAGTCTGTAGGTCCAACAAATTAAGTCCCATCTTGATCCGAATAACTTGGCCCCATAGTACATTGGGGCCTGCAGTCTCAGTAGGTTGCATCTCTACTCCCAATAGCCATTACTTTCACTACAGAACATTCTGGGGTTACTCATCAGCTCACACTGCTCTTAGTGCCCTAAATTAGATTCTCACTATTGTTAATTCAACCCGGGCTAGAGCTTCAGGTATGTAATACACAGCCTTTTAATCTCTGGTTCAAGGGCCCTATGACTTCAACACCACATTCGGGGACAAAAATGAAATTTCTTGCCTCAAGCAAGCATCTACAGGAGAAACACACATGCCTCCCACTTTAGGCATATAATTCCTGCCCAGGTTCCCTTCAAGGCCTTTATTTCTTTTGTACTTAAAAATAAAAATAAAGTTACACTGCAACACACATACACACAAACAGGGTAACTCCTGTTTCTCTGTAGGCTCAACCCTGTAACCGGAAATCTCTGGGGAGAAAAGAGTGGAGTAGAGAACGGGGTAGGAGAAAATAGGAGTGAGGATTCCTGTATGACAACAGGAAAGGAAAGCTAACATCCTTTGGTTCAGACTCCAAACTAACAATCTGACTGAGACCTCTACAAAAGCTACACTTGCGTGTAGTCATATTGTGTGTGGTATTACATAGACCCTGAGTGGGCTACAGAGTTCACCCACTGATTCATTCACACTCAACAGTGTATGCATGGGAGTGGGCTCTAAGTACAAGAATGTTGACTACAATAGCTTCTCTGGAGAGCCATGGAGGACAAGAGTGGGTATCAACACAAACCAACCCACAAAGCCTTTATTATACTATGTAGGCTAAGAAACCCAGGGCAAAAACGTATCTGGTAAAGATTGGCTCTTTAGCAAATACAATCAAGGGAAAAAATGTCAGCCCCATTCCTTTGGTCATTATAAAGCAACATAAAAAAAAAAAGATTTGTATATAGTGGGAAATTGAAGAAACACCTCAGTCTGTCCCTTCTCTTCTTTCAAGCTCCTCTCCATAGAGGCAAGAGGAGCAAATTCTTCAGTAGACATTGGGATATAGTTGGTTGTTGGTGGTTTTATTATTTTTCTATAAAAGCTATAAAGAATGAGAACAGGTGAGGGAGTGTCCCATCCCACCAAAAGGGTTATGGGTTGATCAGAAGAGGTATTCTCTCTTGTATCCCTCCCTGTGAATGGAAAGCAGGGGCTTGGTACACAGGCAGGAGGGAAGCAGTGGGATTGTAGAACAGACGCACTTGCTGGTTCCCTCTCTCATGAACCACACAGGTTGTGGTTGATACAGGCAGCATGGTTTCTGATCCCCAGTCCCCCCACCCCTGCCCTCTTAGGATGCAGCAGTCTTTTAAAAAAAATATTGTATTATAATAATAATATGAATTTCTCTTTTTTTTTTTCATTTTGTTTTCTTTTGGGGATAGAGGGAGCGGGGCTGAGGGCAAAAGCGTCAATCGTCTGTGAGGTCCTGAACAAAAAGCACTTCCGTGTGGCTGAGTCCAGCCTCCTGCAGTGTGGGGGGATTGGGCCACTCCTCTGAGGGAAGGCAGGGCAGCACCCGTCGGGGGAAGTTGGCTTCAATCTGAAACTTCTCTGGGCTTTCTTTCAAGGAGAACAAGAAGTCATGGATTACCTGCAATAATTACAAGGAAAAAGGGAGGGAGATGAGAGAGAAGCAAGGATTACTTTCTTTCATTTATTCAAGAGAACACGTAGCAAACTAATTACTCTGAAATAGAAAGGTCTTTCAGTTACGATTTCAAAATATGAAACATCCTCAGGACCCTGTGTCCTAACTATGGTCACAACATGACACTAGACTTCCAAGTCTTTCAAGACAACTTTATGGGAAACTTACCAAGATAGAACATTATTTATATAACTGCTGACAGTAAAATGCTCTTCTTCTGACAGGTGCCCTCAATATTTTTGGATTTATATACTGGTCAATATGGAGAGTCTCACAGATGGATGAAACTATAATTGGAGCTTCATCCTGAGAGAAGATTTTGATTGGTACTGGCTCTGGAAAGTGTTAAAATGTAAACCAAGTGAGTATGCACCTCTACTAGTCTTAATGCCATTTCCTTGATATGAGAACACAAAAATATGCAAACTTATGTATGTGTACACTGAACTCAAAATTTTTCTAATAATAACTTTTACACGCATTTATATGGCATAATAAAAGGTTTATAATAAAGTACTTTCCTCAATAATCTCATGAGGTAGATAATATTAAGGTTGTCACTTTACAGATGAGGAAAGTTAATCCTTGAAATTAATGGACTATTTTAAAAAAAAATTTTTTTTTTTTTTTGCTTAGGCAGTTGGGGTTAAGTGACTTGCCCCGGGTCACACAGCTAGTAAGTGTCCAGTATCTGAGGCCGGATATGAACTCAGGTCCTCCTGACTCCAGGGCTGGTGCTCCACCACCTAGCTGCCCCTTTGGACTTTTTCAGAGATTGTCCATCTCTGAAGTGGTGGAACCAACACCTGAATTCAGGTCTAGTGACTCCAAGGCCAGCATTCCCTTCACTAAGCCAGGCTATCTTGTTAAATGGAGAACCAAAAGCAAGTGTTATGATAAAGCAAAGCAATTCTCCTTAATGCCAAAGATGAGAGACACATCTTTTATTAATTTCTCCAAACCTTTCTGTATTTTTTTTTGCATTTTTTACTTGCATCTCCCCTGAAGTAATAATTATTATTATAGCTCACATTTCTAAACCGTTTTAAAACCTGCAAACGGCCTTTCTCACAACAAGAATGTGAGAGGTAGGTAAAGCTCTTGTTATTCTTACTTTGCAGATGAAGAACTAAGGTTCAAAGAAAAGAAGTTATTTATCCATGGATATTCAGCTAGTGACTGTTAGTGCTGAGATTCAAACCCAGGTCCCAAGCCTCCACCTCTTTCAGTACACCACACTGTACTGGAAAGAAGTTCTATAAGGCTACCTGCCTGTGTTTAAGTAAGACTTGTCTTTTCTTAGCTAACTTTCTTCTTGCAAGTTGCAAGTTTGGTATCCGACGGATTAGTGAACAAATCTACACTTGTATTCCTCTTATTCATACTACTATTTTATAGACTTTTGTCATACTTATGCTTTCCTTCTCTATCCAGAATGAAAAATACTGGTTTTTAATCTGTCTTCAAGTGGCAGCTTCTATACCAACCTTAATCATTCTGGACATCTTTTTCTGTACATTACCTATTTCCATCATATTCTTAAAAGTGCAAAAACTAAAACTGCACATGGAATTCCAGATGCTAACAAGCTACTGTTTTGTACAGAGAGATAACAAAGTTTTCTTTCTAATATTCCTATTAATGACACCTACAATATGCTGGTTTTCTATCTTCAGGGAAAAGTATTAAGGCAGGCTTCCAGAATACTTTTCTGGTTAAAATTGAGGATTTAAAGTACTTTGTCTTATAATAATTTGGGTTATTTTTTTCCCAAATGCATTTACCTAATGGTCTTCTGCCCCTTGTCTGCCTACTGACATAAGCTTGATAGCCTTTACAACAGCTCAAACTATAGACATGGCCTTCATTATCCCTTAAAGTTTAACCTCCAAGGCATTCTTGAAGATGTCACCATGCATTCTCTCTTTCAGATTATAGAAGGTGAGTACACAGGTGTTCTATCCAGTTAGCCAAGTTCTATTAAGCAAGAATTGTAAATAAGACAGAATGTATGTGGCAAGGGTGGAGCTTTTGCTCTAACTGTAGAAAGAAAGTCTCTGTGTTAATATCCTTACCTGTCAAATGAGCTGGAGAAGGAAATGGCAAACCACTCTAGAGTCTATGCCAAGAAAACCCCAAATGAGGTCATGGAGAGTCAGATATGACTGAAACAACTCAACAACAATATTGTGAAGATAAGGGTCAAAATATGAAGAGTCAAAAAGGAGAGTCGTCATGCTAATGGAGATAGCAGGAGCCCAGGTTTAGAGACTGGGTTGAGTACTGGATTCAGTAGACAACAGGAGAAGCTGAACAACAGGATGTCAGAAGTGTTAGGGGAGATGAGGAAAATCAAATCAAACAGAAAACGGACAGCTTGCAACCACTCAAGGAGATTGTTCCTCTGTGAAATATTTTCATGGCCAAATCTTCAAAATGTCCACAACTACTGGATACCAGAATCCATGAACTCTTCCCCTCCCAAGATTGTCTCATTATCTGTGCATGTTTGTAGGGGCACTGCTTGAAGAATATTCATACCTGTATCAGCACAGGAAGACTCAGGTTTCCAGATTTGTTAGGTCAATACCCTTTCACTGACTTTCCAGTCGGTGCAGTACTAGAGTTAGTCTCATTGGTATTAAATATTCAAGATCTGTCATAAAACTCTTCCTGTTCATCTATTTTGGCCAGTAGTTGCAGAAGAGCTGATGGGTAAAGATTATCACCTAGGCATACAAAGGAGGCAAGCAGGACCAATAGAGCATTCATAGATAGAAGATGATGTTGAAAGTTGCAGAATGAAAAGCCATTAGGGCTTACCATCTTGCTGACGGCAAACAGCCTAATGGTGATTTTTTAAATCAATGAGTGGGCAGAACAGAGAGTTCATAGCTAGAATGAATCTGAAAGTTCCTTTAGTTTAATCTCCACATTTTAATAGATAAGGAAACTGAGGCCTAGAGAGATTAAATGACTTGACCAAGGTCACATCTGTAGTAAATGATAGAGCTGGGACTCAAACAGATTCTTTAATTTCAAATCCAGTACACTTTTCACTATACCATGGCAAGATATTTACGTGATTCTCAACCAGAAGCTTTCCTTTGAGAGCCTGATATAAGTTCCTTGTCTGTTTGTAAGAAGCTGTAGCTGCTTGAAGGGGAGCCTAAATGTCCATCTATGCTATATCTGGTTTGGTAAAATAGCAGTTCAGTATGAGGTCATTACTTAGGGTGTAGAGGCAGAGAAAACATGGGGGTGAAAGCTGTCGTTTATAGTGAATTGGTATTCTGAGGGAATACAAGGACTAAAACACTAGAATTCTACCTTGCAGCACAGAGCGGGAGGGTGAGTTTTTACACTTTGATGGTATGATTATGCAATATTAAGTAATTTCTTTAGAGTGCAATTAGTATAACTGCTCCGGCCCAACTAAGAGTGATAAGTTGCAGAAAGGGGGAACTTCAATGTCATAGTACTAAAGAATACAATCCAGAATAGAAAATGAAAGGAGAGACCAGTTTGGAAATAAGGTATGAAGGCAAGCCATGGGACCCAACAAAATTCTTAAAAAAGAGAGAGTCTGTCTCAGTGGTTAAGGGGACCCAGAAAAAGGGATGAAATGGAATTTTTTTCAGTCATTGATCACACAAAGGCAACACTCTACATATGGGAGAGGGACAGGTTCATGATATTATTAATTAATATAAATTCATTTCTACAGCACTTTATAGTTTCCGAGGGCACTTTTTACACAATAGATTTCCTACTTTACAGGTAAAGAAACAGGTTTGGCAGGATGAAATGACTTGTCTACAGTCACACAGTTAAGTTTCAGAACTGGGAAATGAATCAGCCTGGGGCTTTTGACTCCATGTTCTTTACACTGTATCATGCTGCCTCTGCCTCTCTTAGTGACAGAAATCAGTTCAGAGTAAATGGGGACTTGCTAAGGTCAGTAAACAGCCTGGGCATCTTGCTCACAGGATCTTGGCCTGGGAAAAATCTCAAGACACCTTCACATAGTGGTAAATATGTTGGACATTCAGCTACCAGAAAACACAGGTAATTATCATGTGCAGGGTTTTAAGTACCAGCACCTGGTTGAAACTGCTTTCTCCAAAGTCAATATTTCAACTCCCAAATCTTCTTTCTAAAGAATTTAGGAATAAATCCTTTTCTCAGCCCTCATCCTATGTAAAACTGTTCAGCACTCTCCTCCTCCTAGACACTATCCTCCCTTGGTTTCTGGGACACTGCTTTCTTCTGGTTCTTCAACTACATCACATCTGACCATTCTGTCTTCATCTCCTTTGCTGGATCTTATCTAAGTTCCATTCACTAAGTGTGGACATCCCCCAAGACACTTTCTCTTCTCTCTCTAGATCTTTCTTTTATGAACTTTCACTTTCCATGGATTTAACTGTCATCTCTAAACAGATGACACCAACCTAAATCTTTATACACAGACCTTGTCTCTTCTCTCCTGAGAGCCAATTTTGCATGAACAATTGCCTACTGAACATTTCAAAGTAGATGTTCCACAGGAACTTCAAACTGAACATGTATAAAAGAGAATTCACAATATATCCCCCCCAATCTACCCCTCTTCTAAATTTCCCTATTTCTGTTGAGGGTACCACCATCCTTCTACTGATCAAGTTTATAACCTTTAAGTCACACTTGGCTCTTCAATCTCCCACATCTCACACAGCCAATAAATTAAGCCCTCTCAATCTTATTTCCATAACTGCCAAAATGACATTCTTCTATAGTACAGGACTGAGCAAATTATTCCTCTATTTCTACAATCAAATACAAATTCACACATTCGGTATTTAAAGACTTTCAAAACCTGGCTTTAACCTACCTTTCCCAGAGATAGTATCCATTACTCACCTTCATGAATTCTACTGTCTAGCCAAGCTAGCCTTCTTGCT